CCCCGGCAGTCGACGGACGAGTTCTCCGACCTCTCCTTCCGCATTGCGGAGCTCGCCCGGGACCCCCGACAGCTGAAGGAGAAGCGCAACGGGGCAGGTGAGTAGCCATGCTGGTGGGCTGGGCCCTGACTGGGCGAGAGGTACCCTGGGGCGAAGACCTCTAACGGGGGGCTGATCCTTTCCTTTCGGCAGCTGACGCCAGCGAGACGGAGCAGATCGACTATATTGACAGCAGCATCAATGGCGACGAGGAGGAAGAGGTAAGGGTGGGGGGGGACCTGCGGGCCAGTCAGAGAGGGTGGCTCGCAGGGTGGAGACAGGGTGGCCCCGGGAGGCTCCGGAAGGCTGGGTCTCGTGGACAGCCCTGCATCCCATAGGGGAGTTCTCCCCCCCCCCCCCCCCCGGGGGGGGGGGGGGGGGGGGAGACTGAGAGGTCTTCTGCCCGCACCGCTATCCAGGAGGGGTGGGAGGGGCTGCCGGTGGAGGGCCCCCCCAGGAGGCACGTGAGGCAGGTGCTCCCTCCTCCTCCTCCTCCTCCTCCTCCTCCTCCTGCTGGAAGGGGACGGACAGACGGGAGTCTTCTCTCCTAGGAGCAGCAGAAGCCTGTGAAGGGCAGCCTCCAGAGAGCCGGTGGTGGCAGCGCGGTGGAACAGAGTCTGAGCAGCAGGTGCGCAGCGCCCCCTAGTGCCTCTTGCATGGACTGCTGTGGGTTGCCGAAGGGTGGGGAAGGCGCCGCAGGGGAAGCCATGAAGCTGCCTTGTACCGAACCAGGCCTTCGCGCCCTCAGGGTCTCTGTGGCCTACTCAAGCTGGCAACAGCTCTCCAGGGCCTCAGGCAGGGACGTCTTTCTCATCACCTTCCTGACAGGGACCTTCTGTGCACCAAGCAGAGGCTCCCGTCACTGGGGCACGGCCCCTTCCTTCCTTCCTTCCTTCCTTCCTTCCTTCCTTCCTTCCTTCCTTCCTTCCTTCCTTCCTTCCTTCCTTCCTTGCGCCGGGAAGGGTGGCGGGAGCCCTCCCCCGGGGGCGGGGGGCGGGCTCTGGGCGCGGGGGGGGGGGGAGATTGCTCTTCCTCTAGGCCTTTCCCCCTCGCCTTCCCTGCCGGCTTGGAAACCTGCCACACTCTTGACCCCACGGGGTCCTTCCTTCCTTCCTGCCTGCCTGGCTCCCTCCTCGGGTGCCTGCCCTTGGTCGGTGGCTTTTGTCCAGTGATTCTCTCGCCCCCTTGGGTGCACGCAGGGCCTCCGTGGGTGCTGCCCTGCCCAGGCCGGAGCCGTCGGGAGAGGAGCGCCGCCGCCCAGAGGTCTTGCAGTTGTGGCAGGAGAGGGAGCGCCAGCAGCAGCTGCAGCCGCCCCGAGCCCTGTGGAGCCAGGGGCCAGGGAGAGGCGGGACAGGTGGGCTTGCTTTTTCTCTCGGGGGGCGGGGGGGGCCTGGAAGCACAGCAAGGCTGTCCCGTGAGCGGGAGCTTCCCCAGGGCCTTGTCTCTGGCCCCTTCGGTGCTGGTGCTGGAGAGCGGCCCTCAGCCGCCTTACGGTGGCCCTGTAGGGTTTCCAAAGCAGGAGACGAGTGGAGATGTTTTGCCATTGCCCGCCTCTGCTTCCTTGGTCGTTTCACCAGGGCCGACCCCGCTTAGCTTCCCAGGCCGTAGGAGGTTGGGCTAGCCTGGCCCGTCCGGGTCAAGGCAAGAGGCAAAGGGGGGGGGCTGGCTGGCCCGTGCCTGCCTCTGCCTCGCGGCCCCGGACTTCCGTGTGGGTCTCCCGTCCAAGTGCTGACCACCCCTGCCTCCGGGACCCGGCCAGATTGGGCTAGCCTGGGCTGTCCAGGGCAGGGCCTTTGACTCTCGTTGGGTGTGATGCTCAGCGCGTGTGCGTGGCTTTCCTGGGTCTGCCCCGTAGCAGCGGTAGAGCATTCCGGTGCCCGGCACGTCTGGATCCCACAAGTCGCCCCGTTCTCCCGAGGAGAGCAGCGTCCTTGGGATGTGGGTCTCCTTTCCCCTCGGAACGGGCATCCCGGGTGCCAGGACGAGGCCCTTGGAAGGAGCACTTCTGCCTCCGGGGTCACAGACAATGTTCCCTCTAAGCTGTGGAGTCTTGAGAGCAGGGCTGCCGCTCTTTCCTGTTTGCAGAGCCCTTCTGAACCACAGAGAGCGGGACAGTCTTCGGCACTGCCGTCCTGACAGGGGCCCCCCCCCCGTGAGGTGGGGGTTGCTGCTGTTCCTCATGTTGGGGGGGGGTGACTGCAGCCTGGGGGGAGCAGGGCTGGCCCAGAGTCCCACGCAGTGCCTGCTGGAGGCAGGAGGCGCATGCGGGTCTCCTCCACCGCCCTCTCCCCATGCTCTCCCCATGGGAATCCCTCCCTTCCACTCCTTTGGGATCCCTCACAGGCAGGAGGGCGTCTTTCTCTGGCGGTCAAAACCCAGAGGCCGAGAGTAGCCATTGGGGGGGGGGTGCCTCGGAGCCAGTGGGGGAAAGGAGGGCGGGGCCCCCCAGCTCAGCATTGGGAAGGGGGGGCGCCAGACCAAGGAGGGTGGCAGCCGGGCTCAGGAGCAAAGTCAGGGGGGAGCCTCGAAAAGCACGGCGGTGGCTTCCCTGGAAAAGTGGCCACCGTAGCCCTGACCCAGACGGCACGGCCAAGCCCGGCCTCCTCCGGTCTCGGAAGCTCAGCAGGGCCGGCCCTGGCAAGTGCGTGGATGGGAGACCGGGAGGCGGGGGCAGACTTCCTTCAGCCGTCTCTCTGAATGTTCTCCAGGCCCCCAGTAGGGGGGCCAGTCACCAGAGGTCGCCAGGACCTCCAGGTGTGCGCGCACACTCACACACACACGCACATATTAAAAAATGCAACCTCCCCCCCCCAAAAAAAAAAGTGGTCATCATGCCCTTAGGGGGTGAACAAGGAGGGAAGTGTGGGCTTTGGCAAAAGAGATTAATTCTCGAACGGCTTTGTGTGTAGAATAGCCAAGAGGTCTTAAGATTGCCTGGCGGCCGCATGTTCTAGCTCCTTTAGCGTTATGCACCACCAGGCGGCGAGCTGGACTTGTTTTTAAGGCAAGAGACGTTTCAGAGGTGGTTTGCCATTGCCTGTCTCTGCGTCCGGACCCTGGTATTCCTTGGAGGTTGCCCTTCCAAATACTAGCCAAGGGCGACCCTGCTTAGCGCCCCCCCTTCCCAATGCTGAGCTGGGGGCCCCGCCCTCCTTTCCCCCACTGGCTCCGAGGCACTGGGGCTCCCCCCCCCCATGCTTAGCTTCTGAGATCTGACGAGATCAGGCCAGCCTGGGCAAAAGAAACACGAGCAGAGGCCAAGACCGGCAGGAAGAGAAAATGGGGGTGGGGGTGGGTCCCCCCTAAAGCAAGGAGAAATTCGTGGAATGTAGCTGCTGCAGGCGGCAGCCATGGCCCAGGGAGGCAGTGCGGGTGCGAGAGGATCGTGAAAGGTGGAAGGGCCCATCTCCACTTCTTGGTGCAGTCAGGAAGGGGTGTAAAGCGGCCTCCCTCCCCTCCCAAGGGGCCTTTGATGGAGGATGCCCTGTTTCGGCAGGCCTGGGTCTTGCCGGTGGATTCTTCTTCTGTGGTCTTCCGTCTTTGCCAGTGGCCATTGCTTGGTTAGCTGCCTTTAGTGTCAGGGGGATCACCGCTGTGGGATCCTCTCGTGGATCCGGGACTGGATAAATGACAGGAAACCTTGTGTGGTCCCAGTCAGTGTGGTCGGAGCGTCTTCCTTACAAGCAAAGGCTAAGGAGTTTGGAGCTTTTTATTTTAGAGAAAAAACCAAGGGTGTTTGTATGGGGGGGGGGCAGGCACAATAGAGGTTTATAAAATTATGTACAGGGTAAAGTGTGGTCGGAGTGTCTTCCTTACAAGCAAAGGCTAATGGAGCTTTTTATTTTAGAGAAAAAACAAGGGTGTTTGTATGGGGGGGCAGGCACAGTAGAGGTTTATAAAATTATGTACAGGGTAGAGAGAGTGGACAGAGAAACTTTTCCCTTCCTGCCCCAAAAACACGAGAACTTGAGGGCATCCAGTAACCATGACGGCGTCCGCACTTCTGCATTTTAGTCCCCCGTTGTGTAAAGTGGTATTTTCTTTTGCCTGTCCTGAGTCAGCTGTCCGTCAGCTGCAGGGCGACAGACGAGAGGGAGTCCTTTGCAAGGCCCGAGGCAGGGGGTGGGGCCCAGCAGAGCCCCCTGGAGCTTCGGTCTTGGAAGGGCTGTTCCCACCGTTCCAACGCTGCCGCTGCCCCAGACAGCCACGCAGGGGCCATTTTGCATCCAGTCGCTTTTCAAATCCTCCAGTAGGGAGTAGAAAAGAGCAGGAGTCCAGGAGTGCCGTAAAGATTAGCCGCGTCGGTGGCGGGGGGAGGGGGCTTTCGTTGGCATTTCCCCCAGGGCTCTGGGGCTCTTGCTCTTTTCTGCCACTCCAGTCAGACTCGCACAGCGGCCCGTCTTGGCCCGTCTCCAGTAGGGAGGACTTGCTGCCCGGGGATGCAGGGAGCGGCTTTAAAGGGGGTTGAGGCAGACTCACGGAGGAGAAGTCCACTGGTGGCCGGCAGGAGGTTGAAATCGCAGGAGGTCATCACAGCCCCTCTGCCTTTGTCAGGCCGCCCCTGGAGTCCTCCTGTGTGCATTTCTGGAGGCCTCACTTCAAAAGGGATGTGGGCAAAATCGAGAGGGTGCAGAGGAGAGTGACGAGGATGATCAGGGGGCCTGGAGACTGAGCCCTACGAGGAAAGGCTGAGGGCTCACTTGGGAATGTTTAGTCTGGAGAAGAGGAGACTGAGGGGGGCGTGATTGCTCTCTTTAAACATTCGAAAGGTTGTCATTTGGAGGAGGGCAAGGAGCTGTTCCAGTCGGCAGCAGAGGAGAGGACCCGAAGCAAGGGCTTTAAGTTACATGCAAATGTCTTTTCCACGGTCAGAGTGGTTCAGAGGTGGGATCAGCTGCCACGGGAGGTGGTGGGCTCCCCTTCACTGGCAGCTGTCAAGAAGAGGCTGGAGGAATAGTTGTCAGGGATGCTCTAGGCGGGTCCTGCACTGGGCGCAGGGGGTTGGTCTAGGTGGTCTGTGTGGCCCCTTCCCACTCAGTGATTCTATGGCCAGGCGGGGGCTACCCTGTGAGGACCACTACTGGGTGGGCCCCACGGCTTTGACCTCCGCGCTCGGCTTGCAAAAGCCCTCCGGGGGATCCCTTGCAGGGCACGGGAGGGGAGGGGGTGCCCTGCGGGCCCGGTGGGCCACTGGCCTGGTGCCGGAGGGCTGCTCCAGTGTTCTCTTAGGAGACGAGGTCCCAGCTGGTTCCTGGCAGGTCGCAGCTGGTTCCTGATCGTGGTTTCTACCCCCCCCCCCTCCAACAGTGGCCTGGCTGAGAACAGCGGC